AGGCCCCTGGGTGGGGCCCGACTAGTAACCAATGCCAAATCCGGCGAAACAACTGGCCGCTGTGATACAATTGTATAATAATAATAATAATAGCAGCACCAGCAGCAACTTATCCATTTTAACAAACCTCCCTTGTATCATTAGTTCTTCTCTTATATTTCTGTTTCTAACTTCTGTTTTTATTAGCTAACCATTGATAAAATAAGTCCCATGTCAAAAAGTATTCAGTTTCTTTCTTTTCTTTAATTGTAAGTGTTAGTCTATCCATTTCGGCACATTCTAGGGTGCCCCCCCCCTACATATTCATCTGTAGAGATCTTTTCACTTTTCCATTGTTGTGCAAATACAATTCTATCTGCAGTTAATACATGTAAAATCAAATATCTATTTCCCTTGTTATCCAGTAAAATGCTCAACAAAAATATTTTTGGTTTTAAATCTGTATGTTGCTTTATCATTTTTTTTATCAACTATGTATGTATTTTTTGGGTTCTTTTTTTGGGGTGATGCCATTAGTAGAAGAGCCTGGCAAAGCCACAGCATTTTAAGGGAATGGTAATGGTTCTGGCAAGGGGACCCATGTTTTCTTCAAATAACTTGTTCTACTTCTGATTTGAAGATCTGTGCATGGTTACTAGGATCACTGGTCTTACTTGTTCGTTGAAAGGAAGAGGTGGCACCGTGGGATCCAGATGAAACATTTTCTCACACAAGAGAGCTTTCAGGCAAAGGGCAAGGCCGTCAACATCTCGTGCCATTGGTCCCATGCCAACAAAAACTGGAAGTAAGAAACGAGTAAACCGAAAGCATTTAAGAATAGCATTTTAGGACTTGGGGAAATTCTGAGACAAAGGTTCCAACCATTGAAGCTCATCAAAAAGTGATTAACTCCTCAAGAGTCAACTCATTCTGATTGAATATGGTAATAAAAAGATAATTAAATAAAGGTCAAAATATGAAACTGATATGGGGAGATTGTAAAGCAGAGGTTTGTGAATCACTTTTTTACATAATTAAACTGAATTGCTAATTGATTGAACATGACAGTAGAAGGACAATTAAGCATGGGTTAAAATATATGAAACATGGATATATATAGAATCTTTAACATGATGAATAAAGTGAGATGTGTACAGTTTGTTATTCTATATAGTAGATTAAGGGAATTGTAATGAACATTGAACAGCAAGGATTGCCATTTATACACAATTAAGGGTAATCTAATCTAAGATATGGAAAAACGGAGAGGGAACATGAAATA